CGAATGTCGTTATTGGCCGGATGCATCAGGTCTGCATATACTGTCAGGCCTCTTCGATTGAATCAGACGAAACTTCGGTCCGAGGAATATATTCATTTGCGGGATGCTGTGATGAATGACCGTAATACAATCAACGTTGGAAAGCTCACGATTTTGCCATCCTCATACATACGTAGTCCACGCCACATGCATGAATATGGTCAAAATGCCATGGCATATGTTCCTTGCTACGGCCATCCAGACTTATTTATCACCTTCACATGCAATCCAGCTTGGGACGAGATAGTACAGCTGTTATTTCCTGGACAATCGTATAGGGATAGTCATGACATCACAGCCCGTGTTTTCAGACAAAAGCTCAAGTCACTGATGGATTTTATTGTGAAACATGGAGTTTTTGGATCTGTGCGGTGCTGGATGTATTCAGTAGAATGGCAGAAGAGAGGATTGCCGCATGCGCACATACTGATTTGGCTGTATGATAAAATTACTCCAGATGAAATTGACGATGTTATATGCGCTGAGATTCCATGGGCCGAGGTTGATACGGATTTGCATGAAGTTGTCATCAAGAACATGATCCATGGCCCATGTGGTACCCTCAACCCATGTTCACCATGCATGGTAGACGGGAAGTGTTTCAAGCGATATCCTCGAGCATTTACAGCCAACACCGTAACAGGGGACGATGGATATCCTCTGTATAGGAGACGGTCAACTGAAGATGGAGGGACTTCAGCAAATTTAAACATGAGAATTGGTGATATTGAGGTAGACAATCGTTGGGTGGTTCCATACTCACCACTATTGTCAAAATCATACAAAGCGCACATCAACGTAGAATATTGCAATTCCGTGAAATCGATTAAATATATCTGCAAGTACGTGAATAAAGGCAGCGATATGGCAGTTTTTGGTGTTTAGGCAGAAAATGGTGACAACAATGCAGTACGAGTTGTCGATGAAATATCTCAATACCAGGCTGGAAGATACAAAAGCAGCAACGAGGCTGCATGGAGAATTTTTTCGTTCCCAATTCATGAACGCTATCCAGCTTTAGCTCACTTGGCAGTCCATTTGGAGAATGGTCAACGTGTCTATTTCACAGAAAGAAATGTGCAAGAAAGAGTCCTGAATCCGCCAGCGACAACTCTGACTGCCTTCTTCACCTTATGCCAGGAAGATGATTTTGCCAGAACCTTGATGTATTCAGAAGTGCCCTCTTAACCACAATATGCCACAAAGAAACGTGGCTGGGTATGAATGTGTTAAAATTGACAAATCTAAATGTAATGTTTAATGCCCGTGCGAAGCCGGGACGGGCCGCTAGTACTTTATATGGTCGGAGGTGCCTCCTTCACTGCTTTGGAAACTTCTGACTGAAATTATAATACCCTGCAAGAGTATAATTATATTATTTATTTTCAACAACAATGATGTAAATATGAAGACCGTTTGCGTTGAGTTTTTCGGTCAATCGGTCTTTTGCCAGTGTTTAAAAAACTGCAGTCGAATTAGCATAAGTCGCAATATTTTTGCTTTCCACTACTTCAACTGCGAGCGATATTATAAAATGAAAAAAAAATCATTCTGCTTTTGCTTCTGAACAAATCAGAAGGTGCAGTCAAAGCATAGTCAAAAATCAAACAGCGACCAAAATCAAAAATCAGCAGCAGTCGCCGCTTTTCGTTTTCTTGCTTTCCGCTTTGCTGTTGCTTTTGTCGTAGTCGTAAGTCGACGCTCTGGCACGCGTCGACTTTCGGGATTCGTCGGCAGCTACAGTCGCATAAGTCGCTGCATTCGACTTTTTGCTACTTTTGATTTTGGTAGCTGTTGCTTTCGATCAGCAGCATATGCCAAAATTAGCAAGAATATGCAGATCGTGGAAGTCGCCCGTTGTTTTCGATCGTTGCGACTTTTCATTTATGACCTATTAGCTTGATTAATTTTTTGGCAATTAATTATTTCGTACTTGTACCTTTTTATTCATGTTTTTATCTCATTTTTAATCTTTACGAAAAATAACACAATAAATCAAAAATGCGAGTAATTCAATATCAATAAAAACAAAATTAATTAAAATAAAAACATAAAAACAGTTTGAGTGTTAATAAACTTATTCATTATACCCTTGCAGGGTATTATAATTTCAGTCAGAAGTTTGCAACGCAGTGAAGGAGGCACCTCCGACTATATAAAGTATATATATTCTTGATCAGGACCAACAGCCGAGTCGATCTAGCCATGTCCGTCTGTCCGTCTAGTCTCTCAGTTTTGAAGCTATCTGAATGAAACTTTGCAGTTAGTCTTCTATATATTCTCACTCGTATATATGTCGGAACGGGCCGAATCGGACGACTATATCATATAGCTGCCATAGGAATGATCGGAAAATTTGTACAAAAAAATTATAACATTTTTAGTTTTCAACAGAATTTGATCAAATTTGAGATATAGCCATTTCATATTATTCTACAATTTTGTGTACAATTTTATGAAAATCGGACGACTATATCATATAGCTCCCATAGGAACGATCGAGAAATTAATTCAATTAAAAAGTATAACATTTTCAGTTTTCAGATTTTCATCAAATTTGATACATAGCCATTTTATAAGAAATAAAAGAAGTTAATAAAATTAAAGATTATAACTTATTCAGTTTTCACCAGATTTTCATCAAATATCATTTATTTTAATCTAAATTGTGTGTAAAGTTATAAAAAAAACCGGACTATTATATCACGAACGATCAAAAAATGAATACAAGTAAAAATTATAACGTTTTCAATTTTCAGCAGATTTTCATTAAATTTGAAATATAGCCATTTTATATCAGTCTTAAATTTTGTTGAAAATTTTATGAAAATCGGACGACTATATCACATAGGTGCCATACAAACGATCGTTAGATGTGGAGCAAAAATGCAAATCTGTGAATGTAAAACTGAAAATATAATATGTATAGGTGAACGAAATGAAAGCAGGTATTACTTCATTGTTTTTTAACATTAATATATATATTTTATATTGTATGGAAGGAATCCAGGAAGTCATAGAAGTTCTATCAGCAAGGGTATATAAACTTCGGCGTGCCGAAGTTAGCTTCCTTTCTTGTTTTCATTTTCAAACAGTGGCAAGGTGTCAATGGCCACATCCAAAAAGCTGGGATTTAACTTGACCAGCAATATGTTCTCAAGAACATCCTGGCTTAATCGATTGCGGTAGTCTGTAAGCACCAGTCTCAGAGTGGAGAAGGCTCGTTCAATCGAAACCTGTTATTAAATAAATAAATAACAAAACTTCAATTATTTATGCCATTTTAATTTACTTGAGTTGGCGGTACAGCATAGCAAAAATTACTTATTGCGTACAACTCCTTATCGGTATGCTGTTTACCTTTCCAATACGATAGCACGTCTATATAAATCCTTTGATACGAAAGTTGAAGATTTTCAATTTCTGTATATACGTCCATAGAACTGTTCACTTCCGAATGAACGCCTTGCGATAGATATCCTTCTAACAACTCATCTTCCTCATCAAAAATGAAATTGTCCATTTGATTAAAACTGGAATTCGGAGTTGAGCACATATGGCCAAGAGGGTTTAGATTATATAATCTGTCCCAAATAGATCACTTTTTTGTTACGATGACAATATATGTTGAACGCGAGGATCCAGAAACAAGCAAGAAACTACGAATTTATTATTCAACAATGTTTTTGTTCGTATTTCTATAGAATTCAACATTTTATTTCCGATAGTTTTTGTTAAATACTTGAATCCTTTACCATTTTTTCTGTTGATATTTTAAGCTTTAGCCATTGGGCGTAAAAATTACTGTAATGTAATTGCTCCTCTTGAAATTTTTTATTGATTTTTGCAAGGAACAAAAAACATTGCAATACGTCTCAATAAAATCGCAAAACGAGGAATCCACGTCAAAATTATCCTCATCCGTTTTGTTTTTAACCGATTCAATTTTTCTTAACAAGTCCTTAGCTTCCAACAAGTTTTGTAGCATTGTGTAGGTAGATCCCCACCTGGTTGGACAATCTAGTTGTGGCACTTTCATTTTTTTCAAAAGTTTCGCGGTATCCATTCGATGCTTTTCTTATGTATTTTATCAAATTTCGACAATTGAGTAAGAACTTAAGTATGTCCGGTGATTTATTTACATCAATCGCAACCAGCTGTGATGTATGTGCAGCACAACGACAAACTTGAATATTACCTATTAATACATAGGGCACTTTTTCTATGAGCTCAATTTTTTGTATATAATCGTCGTTGGTGCACTCTGCGTCGTCCTCTTCATTGTTTTGTTCAGAAAGATATGATAAAATATTTGTAGTTTTAACCATATTGGCACCGTTGTCAGAAGCAATGGAAACAATTTGATTTAAATTTATATTATATCTGTTGAGGACTTTGATTACTTCGGCGGAAAGATTATTAGAACCACTTGATCCTGCACCTCTTAATTCAATCATCCCCAGAATAATTGATTTTATTTGAGCAGCTCTTATGTATTGTGCACTTATTCCGAAAATATTTCTGGACATTCGGTTTGCACTATCTATTTTTAAGGACAATAATGTGCTCTTAAGTTCACTTCTTATGTGAGATCTTATATTATTTGCGACTACTTCGAGTGTTTTTTTGCAGTTTCATGCATTTAATTTCATTATTTTGCCATCCGCAGCAGTGTTGCCAGTTTAGCCTATTTCAGATTAGATCTAGCCTATTTTTAAGTGATCTAGCCTATAAAATAATAGTAGCCTAAATAGCCTATAGCCATAAATCTAGCATATTTTTTAAAATAATTTAGCATATTTTATTAATGTATTTGTGACCAACGAAAAATTTTATTTTTGGTGTTCAATGTTTTGCTGGTTCTTTTTTGCCGATTGTTACGTGAACTTTATTCATATGATCGTGCTTTCTGATCGATAGATTTTTTGGATGGTGCGATATGTTATCGCATAATGTTATGTGATCTCTAATAATTAATTGTGAAATAAAAGTGAATCGAAGCGTACGTGCCAAAATGCCGAAAGCCATTTACTAACAATTACTTCGCGATGCTTGGTTGGAAAACAATGAGTGTAAGGACTGGCTCCGGAAAATGCCAGCTGATCCAGCAAAGGCATTTTGTTGCTATTGTAAATGCTCAGTAGCAGCTAAGGTATACGACATACGGCAACATGCAGTGTCCAAAAAACATATTTCGACAATGGGCGCAATTGGTCAAACACAAAAACTAAGTTTTCCTTCCAAATGCTGGAAGACAGAGGAGCAGGAAGCTGCACTATGTTTGTGAAAGGTACGAATAAGCTGCAGTTGATTAGATTATCACTATATTTATAATACACGTTTCCATTTTAGACTTCCCGACAACTTCAATATTTTAAAGAAGGTCAATATATTTGCAGTGGATAATATACTGCGACCCCACAAAAATATATTTGATTGATAAATATTTTTGAATATTTTAAAATAACTGATATCGATGAATTAAAATCACAATTGGACAAAATTCACCTGATAAAATGGGGAAAAAAACAGAAGAATCGATGCAATTTTGGGCAGAGGTGCTAGCGTATAGACACGCAGGAAACAAAAACCCCTTTAAGGCGCTTGCATTATTTGCCATCCAGTTGTTTTCCCTGCCATGGTCCAATGCAGAGGTGGAACGAGTGTTCAGCCAAATGAACATAGTGAAGTCAAAATTGCGCAATAAAATGGCATTAAAAAGCTTGAATGCAATATTGAGCATAAGGTTTGTTTTTAAATTGTGTCAAACTTATTTATATTTTAATAATAATATATTTCAATGTTACAGATATGGGTTACGAAGACACAATGAATGCTGTCATACCTATTCGTTGCCACAAAAGTATCTTGACCAAATTAAAAAAAAAACACTAATATTTGAATGACGGGGAGAACGACGATATTGAAAGTGTTTAATATAATAAAAACATGAAAATTACTTTAATTTGGTAGATATTATTGTACTTTAATATATAGCTTATTTTTCAGCATATTTTTCTGAATTTTAGCCTATTTTTACCCAAAATCTAGCCTATTTGCGAGCTCAATGCCTGGCAACACTTATCTGCAGTCTTCAGGCCTTCGCATATTGGATCGAGAATATTCCTCATATTTGGTGAATTTAAGACATTAAAAGGGATGCTGTCTTCTGTTACCAGTCCTATATAGGATCTTATTAGTTGTTTTTTATTAACATCTGTTTTAATTTTTTTTTCTGATTGTTTTAATTAAAGAACTCGTTGATGACTTTTCAATATTTTCAAGATTTTGCACGTTTAAATTAATTAATTAATAATTAATTTTGTGTTGTTTTATTAAGTGTGTTTTTAAATTTGAAAGTGTATTGTGTTTAAGAGAGTTATTGCATACATTGCATATTGCTATACCCTCGTCTGCCTTATATTCGAAATACTTCCACACTTCACTTGGAGCCATGGCTGAATACGTGTGAGTCCCGCAGCAAACTAACTACAAGTAAAATCAAAAGAAGCAAACCAGAGCGACGGCGGCTACGGGCGACTTCCACGATCTGCATATTCTTTCTAATTTTGGCATATGCTGCTGATCGAAAGCAACAGCTACCAAAATCAAAAGTAGCAGTAGTTTGTCAAGTAATTCTTTGCAAAACGAAAAATCCCTCACAATTTAAACTGAAAATTTATTAACAAATAAGAATTTTTAAAAATTTTCTTTTATAGTATTATTAGGATAACTTTAATCTATAAATATAAAAAACAAAACTTAAATATTTTAACTTAAAACATAGTAAAAAATATCAAAAACAAAAACATTGCAATTTGTATGCTGTCAATTAATTCTTTGCAAAATGCAAACAGGAGTTGAAGAGGTTCCTAGAATAAAGCAACGCAAAGCAACTTCTTAGTGGTCTTTACTTGAGGAAAGTCCTGAATCTCCACAAATACTCCTCACACATTGCCAGGAAGAAACCAATGCTTTCAGCTATAAATATTGAAAGGCGGTTTAATTTCTCTATCGGTCACGTTAACCAGCCTCCTGAGTATGGGGATGAAGTTTTTTTTTGTGACGAGACTAAAATAATGCTATACACTCATGGCTGACCCAATAAAGTTTGGAGGAAACCAAACACAGGTGTCCAGCCGAAGAATATCATACCAACATTCAAATTTGGCAAGTTTTCTGTGATGATAAGGGGGTGCATATCATCCAAAGGAGTTGGTGAGCTGCGGATTTTTAATGATATAATGACGAAGGAGTTTTATTTGGGCATCCTTAAAAAGGAACATAAAATATTAACGCCTCAGCTATTATAATTTTTAAGTTATCCTTGGTAAACTATAACGTCTTTGCAAATTGCAAAGAATTAATTGACAGCATACGAATTCCAAATTTGTTGTTTTTGCTATTTTTTACTATGTTTTAAGTTAAAATATTTAAGTTTTGTTTTTTATATTTATAGATTAAAGCTATCCTAGTAATATTATAAAAGAAAATTTTTAAAAATTCTTGTATTTGTCAATAAATTTTCAGCTTAAACCCAAAATTGTGATTTTTCGTTTTGCAAAGAATTACTTGACAAACTGTATTTCGAAGGCCCCACTTTTTTGGTTGTGCTCGCAACGAGCGCGCAAGAAAAACGGTCGACAGATATTTGCAGGCACAAGAAAAAACGCATACAGCAAATAGTAAATGCTAAGGGGGTGAAACAAAATATTAAAATTAGACTAAAATAGTATAAGTTTGTTAATATATAGGTTTAAACTTGGATTATATTATTTGTGTAAAGAGTTTCTTGACAGACTTTAAAACTTGTGATCTCATATTTAACTTCATTATTATGTTTCTTTAAAAGTTAAATTATTGTTTTTCCATTAACTAATTAAGGGATTACATCCAGTTAGAATTTAAAAAAAATTGATTTTTTTGTATTTTATTTTCTTAATGCAAATTTTATTTAAGAATATAAACAGAAAGTTTCATATATATCCAGTGAATATTTCCTGAGATATAAGTAAATTTGAAAAGGCGTTTCAGAGTGCTCTGTGCATAGTGCTCCTATGTAAAGTGTATTCCAAACTTTAAACGTGTTTTTCTCAAAATGGTGTTTTCAAAGTAGTGACCAACATTTCTCAAAAACGGCTAGCCCGATTAGTCTCGATTAGTAATTAATCGAAAATTTTTTCATTCTTTCCAATAAATATTTTATTTTTTATAATTGTAACTTTAACTGTATGTAACCCCTTAAGAAAACACAAATAATGGTTTTGAATTAAAAAAAACATTAAAAAATGTAATAGAAAGTGTTTAGTTTATCTCGCCGACAAAAGAATATCCTTGTTAAAATTATTTGGAATATATATAAATATTGCAGATTTTATTAAATTAATGTTTACGTATCTTGTGGTATATTGGCATGTATTATTAATTTACTTGAGGCAAAGACAAAAATTGTTCATGTTAAATAATATGCCTTATGTGTCCGGCTTTACTCGGACCGCGCCAGAACTTTCGGTCGTCGGTTTTCGGTTTCGCCTTGCTCCCCCTATTCTCTATGCATTTGAAGCTGAAGTGCGCCAGCAATTATAATTGTTTTATAAACGCGTTTACAACTTAATCAAGATTAAAATAAAAACTATTTAATATTTGCAATATTTAATTTCACTATTGAGTTTTGTGTTATTTCATCGCACACGTCAGTCATTCGCGGCATAATTCAAATACATATGTACATATGGTATTTTAAAACGTCTAGCGTCTTCTTTGCGGTAAATTAATGCAAGTGCAGTTAAATATCAACATAGGTCATAACACCAATTGTGCAAATACTTTAAAAAACAAAAAAGACAACAGATACACTTATATGAAAAATAATCAAATAAATAAGAAAATAATATTTTTACCAAATTTAATGTTCAAGAAGATGGTGTTGATTATAAAATAATTTTAATATTTAAAATAATAAAAAATGTAAGCAAAATAAAATAAGTGTAATTTATATACTTCCTCGCTTACTTTCAATAACACTACTGCAAACTCTGGTCAGGCAACAACAAAAGAAAATATAAAATTTTGAAAACTATTTTGACGGTAGAAATGAACGATTTTTTAATCGAATGTATATGTGGAACCATAAAACCCACAAGTTTAAGAACCTAAAGCGGAATTTTTGGCAACAATTGGCGGAGAAACTAAACACTATGTTCGACAAGTTCCGCTCCCTTCAAGTAATTCTATTGTTATTGTTATTATTATATGACCAAGTTTCATAACAATTTGTGTTTGTACACATTAAGCTGAAGTTTACCAGTAAGCAAAACAACTTTAAGTCATATTATAACCACGAAAGCCAAAACCAAAATAAATAACCCTAATATTTTATATAGTTATCATTGATTGCATGCCATGCCATGACACTGGATGGCTAGTCATTGGGAACAGTGTCACGCATATCACGCCAATTGGAAGAATTTAAATTACATACACAAAAAAGAAAAAAATGGCTCTAGTCACAAATACGCAATAAATTATATTGGGTTAAAATAATTCACTTATGTTTTATGATATTCAGCTTATTAAGCAATTAAAAAAGAGGTCTTTAAAATAATTTGGACTGTAATTTAAAGCTTCCAAGCAATTTAAAAATTTTGAAACGGGTGTAGGCGTATGCAGGGCGCCGATAATGGCCAGTTTTCAGCTCATAGCTGTGATACTTTGTGTGATTATACATTTATGGCTAAAACCGTCGTTTTTTCTTAAGGTTTAAAAAACAGTTTAGCACTCTTTCCTCAAAAGAAAATTCTTTGTCTTTTTTAAGATGTCATAAATGGATAAGCTAACGTAGAGACATCTTTTATAAATCTTCTAAAATAGAAACATAATTTTTAAAAAACTGTGTACTTTTTTATCGTCGTCAGTTCTGATTCCTTTTTATACCCTTGCAGGGTATTATAATTTCAGTCAGAAGTTTGCAACGCAGTGAAGGAGGCACCTCCGACTATATAAAGTATATATATTCTTGATCAGGATCAACAGCCGAGTCGATCTAGCCATGTCCGTCTGTCCTTCTGTCCGTCTGTCCGTCTGTCCGTTTCTACGCAAACTAGTCTCTCAGTTTTGAAGCTATCTGAATGAAACTTTGTAGTTAGCCTTCTATATACTCTCACTCGTATATATGTCGGAACGGGCCGGATCGGACGACTATATCATATAGCTGCCATAGGAATGATCGGAAAATTTTTACAAAATTTTTTTTAACTTTTTCAGTTTTCAATAGAATTGGATCAAATTTGAGATATAGCCATTTTACTATACTCTACAATTTTGCATAAAATTTTATGAAAATCGGACTACTATATCATATAGCTCCCATAGAAACGATCGAGAAATTAATACAATTAAATTTATAACCTTTTCAGTATTCAACTGATTTTCATCAAATTTTAGGTATAGGCATTTTATATTAGTCTTAAATTTCATGAAAATCGGACTATTATATCATATAGGTGCCATACAAACGATCGTTTGATGTAGAGGAAAAATGCAAATCTTTGAATGTAAAACTGCAAATATAATATGTATAGGTGAATACAATGAAAGCAGGTATTACTTCACTGTTTTTTAACACTAATATATATCATTTATATTTTATGGTTTTTTATTCATAGAAGTTCTATCTGCAAGGGTATATAAACTTCGGCGTGCCGAAGTTAGCTTCCTTTCTTGTTTAATAATGAAAAATCCCAGGTACTTTATGCTGGATTGCATAAATTCACATTTCCCATACGAAGTTCTAACTTGTTATTGTCTTATAAACACTTCTTTTAATACGCTTAAATTATCTTCCATGTTTGCGCTGGCCATTAATATGTCATCCATGTATACGATGACTTTATTTTCGCGTATTAAATCCAAAAAAAAAAAAATTTACTTACCAAGCGCTGGAATACTGCGTTCTTGATGCCCATGGGCATCCTTAAAAATTCAAATTGTCCTAAAGGGGTGACAAATGATGTATATTTAACAGTTTTAAATTGGCATATCTCTGACAAAAATCATAAAATAACCAAATTCAAAATGAATATTAATTCTTCAGGTTATTACTATGTGTTAATACTAATATGTTGCGAGTTGCGTTCATATTTTTCTAAAAATTTGTACATTTAGCAAGTGGTGTCCCCT